TGCAGGAAGCTCTCAGTTGTGGAGAGCTACGCCTGAGCATCCTTACCACAGTTCTTAAGAGTTCTCTTTGATGGCTTTCTTTTTACACTGTTACTTTTGGGGGGGTAAGTTGGGGGATTAGATGTTGTCACAGAAACCTTTTATGTCCCTCTTTCTCAGCTGTGCACCTGCAGTCATTGATACCTCTGTCGAAGCATGGCTGGCATAGCCTCTGGGAGAAGTACCTCATGGAGGTCTTTCAAGGAGGTCCAATCCAGAAGATGAATGATTCTTTATCTTGAACATCCTGTTGATGCTCAGAGCCAAGGTGGTGCTGTGGCTGGGCAGCTTGTTGGGGCAGGGGCTGAGTTTGCACAAGCTTCAGGCTGCTGTTCACCTACTGGTGACCCTACTGTGTAATGGCTTGTTCCTCCACTAGCTGCAGCCTTCTCCCACCCTGTAACAGTTGTCAGATCTCAAGTTCTGCCTCTTTCCACCATGCTCCGCTCTGTTCCTCCAGTTTCCCCAGCTCTCTATCATATACATTCATTCATCATAGTGGCATTGGAAGCTGCAGTATTTCTTGTGGTATATCTATATATTTGCCCAAACAACTTCATATGGAAATTTTCACTTCAATGAGTCATTGGTCAGGTTCAAGGCCTCTGGCTTCTGCCATGCCACCAATACTGGACCACTGCCAAGGATTGCTGTTGCCCAGAGTCATGGAGATTCTGCAGTTCAAGTTCTGTAGGACAGACCCATTCACATGCTCCATCAGCTCATAAAAGTTGGGGTTGGAGCAACTCTTGAGTGTTGGATTTGGGATTGGATAGTAGCTTGGTCTATTGTAACTTAATTACACTGTAGAGCACCTCTGTGGAGACCTACTTTAGTTCTTAGGGTAACTGTGGCTCCTCGGTTAACATCTGCTGTCACCTGGGGCAAATCAGAAACTTAGCATATCAGAAGCCATTTTACCTCCCAGTCCTCATCTTGAGTATGAAGTGAAATTAAGTTCAAGTTCTCAGGCCTACATGCCTGAGATCAGGATACAATTCAATAGTTCAATGCTTGCTGCTTAGAATAAAACAATAGATGATACATGCATATTTTGCTTGAATTAAAGATAAATGTATGTTCTATTAGAATTAAGATCGCTACATCCTGCTATGTTCCTTCTCCCAGAAAGCTGAAAGCCAAGAGCCCTTCTACCCTAAATCCCAGCCAATCAGCTTAAAGTGCTTTGTCTAGCTACCTAGATACACCGCAATACACTTAGAACAAAATCAACTATGTTTAGCTAATCAAAATGACGTAATGCTGCCCCTGCCTCACTTCCTACACCTGATTACCTGGTTGTTACTTGGTTACAGTTTTTCATATATATATATGTGTGTGTGTGTGTGTGTGTGTGTGTGTGTGTGTGTGTGTGTGTGTATAAACAAAATCAAAACTGCCTTAGAAACAGACTGGCATCATAGTCTGGCTCCCAAGTCCAGATTATGGCCCTGACTGGTCAATTTTTGTTCAGTGTTCAATAAACTTCTATCAGTCTGAGTCTGGTGTCCGAGTGGTCAGTGTGTGCCTATTCTTGAACCCATAATAGGTCAGCTAGGAATCTGCTTACCATTGCCTCTGAGCTGGGCAGAATATAACATTTTTTAAAAGGAGGAAGAAATATAGCTCAGTGGAAGAGTGCTTGCTTAGCATCAGGCCCAGAGTTTAATCCTTAGTACTGGAAAACAAAAACAAAAACAAAAAAAAAAAAAACAAAAAAAAGAAGAAGAAAGAAAGAAACATAACAAAGCAAAACAAACACAATCAAACTTTTATTTTATATTTACGAGTGCTTGCCTGAATGCATGTCTGTAGCAGAAAGCCACTCTACTTTATTTGGGGTGTTTAGGCCTCTAAATTTCTTCTACCAACCCCCCAACCTTAAGTAGGAGAGAGAAAATGTTAGTGGGGAGAGGGGGCTGAGACCACTTTACTTCTTCCTGCTAGTTCGGGTCAAGCGCTTCTTTTGGGGCTCTATTTCAATCTATTCCAACACAGACACAGCTAGCAATCTCCGTCAGGCTGCTGAACCCTGAAGTGTTTCTCTCTGTCTGCTCCAAACGCTACACCATCTCTGATCTCCCCAAACTGCTACTCGCCACGTACACCTCCTCTTCTCCTTCTGCACTTTCATATTTATACTCTCAGAGTCCTAGACCACACGCCCCTCCGTGTTGCTCATGGGAGGCCGTTACCAGCTGGCAAAGATCATACCCCAGACGTGACAATTAACAAGTGTGGATAAACTGTAATCCCACACTAAAATCCCACACTTGGGATTAAAACAAAAACCCATTTACATAACTGAGTTTACAAAGAACCCAGAGCTTCCATTACACATGTCTGTGTACCCTGTGCATGACTGGTGCTCATGGAGGCCAGGAGAGAGAGTTGGATCCCCTGGAACTGCAGTTATGAATGGCTATGAGCTGCTCTGTGGGTGCTGGGAACCGAATCCTGTTTCTCTACAAGAGCAGCAAGTGCTCTTAACTGCTGGGCGATCTTTCCAGCCCTGGAAAAATGTTTTAATATTGATAGTAAGACCTATTTTCTACACTTCAGTATAAATACTGAAGTATAACATGAAGTATCAATGCAGAATGCCCATGCAGATGTTTTCCCTGTTTTTGGTTGTTTTCCTTGTTCACCATTTCTATCTCTTTTCAGCTAAAACTCTTCCTTGCTTGCCAAACACTGTTTCTGCCTGCTTCTTCCATCACTACTAGTGTGGGAGGTGATTCATACAAACTCTTCCTGTTTCCATGGCCTTCCAATTATAATATTCCTCTGTGGCCAAAACAAAGTGTAACTAATGTGGATCAATAGCCAGGAATTCAACTCAAATTTTATTTTCATTCATGGATACTTTAACCACAGAATGAAAGCTTGTTGAAAGTTTCGCCCGCAAAATAGTGCCCTGTCTTGCTCATTGTGGAAAAAAAATTCATCTGCCATTACGATCACCATTATTGCCTGATTCCTTTACTGAAGTTCAAACCGTACCACCATATCTTCAAACATTACCTTCATTTCTGATCATCAGTGTGCTAATGGTTTGTGGATCTTTCCTCTTCCCTCTAGGCTGAATTGATTCTTTTATTAGTGCAGTGGCAGAATGTTTTCTTTTTCTCCACATTCTTATAAAGAGCTCTGGCTGTGAAAGAAGTATTTACTACACCTGTAATTTAACCTGAAGGGAAGCCAGAAAAAAAGTAAACTAGAATAAGAAAATAATTTTCAATTTACAGGGATATTAACAGATGAAATCTGGTTAGAAAACATTTCCTGAAATAAAATAACCACACTGTTCTCCAGTTCTTGCCATTGATGTGGTTTGTCACAATACCAAATTAACCATTAAAAATATTCTTTTAGGCAAATATTTTCCTTAAAGTTTAGTAAAAGGAAAAAATCTATTTAAGGCAATACATATTGGAGTGCTTATTTGTGTGGCACTGTAGTGAGACCTGGAAATGAGCAAAACCTCTTAGGCTATTGTCTTTTTTGATTTCATAGTTGTTACATGGACAGAAACCCAGTGACTGTGAGAGAACCACACAAGTTCTCATACTCTTGTGTTTTACCTACATGCAAATTGTGAGGCGCTCAACACCATTCATAACTTCATGCATCAATGCAACAGTAATGGTGTTATTACATGCCTAGAACACAGATATGTCAGTGGGAAACACCCCTTCCTCCTGAAAAATTCCTTCCCCCAAGTATTCTAGTGAGAAGCAAGAATAAGTAAGCAAGTAACTACAGTGTACTAAATATTATGGAGAAGAAAAAAATGCGGCCCCAGACGTTTTACTTGGTTATGTTACAGTTTCAAACAAGGCTGTTAGGAGGGGTCTGATTTGCAGGGTCCCAAAACAAAGAGCTGAGCAAAGTAAATGTTTACATAAGATGAGAGAGGATTTCAGCTTGTCAGGCATCCCTGGCTTTGGCGGTGATTCTTTGAAGGATTAAAAATGTAATAGGAGGGGCTGGAGACTTATGAGCACTGGCTGCTCTTCCAGAGGTCCTGAGTTCAACTCCCAGCAACCACACGGTGGCTCACAACCAACTATAATGCGGTCTAGTGCCCTCTTCTGGCATGCAGGCAGAACACAGCATACATAATATATAAATCTTTTGAAAAATGTAATAGGAACAAAAAAATAAGAACAAGGAGCAATTGGCTCTGGGGAAAAAAAAAAGCTTCATTTTTTTTTTAAATCACCTCTGCACAAATTAGGACATGTGAACGACTAGATTCCTGATTTTCATCTCACATTGTTTAAAACAAAACAAAACAAAACAAACAAAACAAAACAAAACAAAACAAAACAAAACAAAAAACCCAGGATCGTGGCCTTGGAAAAACATACACTTAAAACACCTCCCAAGATTCTTCCACAGCCAACTTGAACTGAACTAACGAAATCTGCCAGGTAGGGCTCACTTGTGTTAGCTACTTGGACGAAGTTATGCTTGTACAATGCTCCAGGTACAGCATTGCAAAGGGCGTGGAAGGAGCGATGAACCCCACACCGTAACCTCCCTCTCACGAATACGCCCAGAAGCCTTTGCATTAAACAAGAAAGAAAAGGTTTTTGTAGGAGACAGATTTGGATGAAGTCTTTCTCAAATCCTTATGGAGGGGACGATGAGTTAGTTCTGGAAGTAACAACCCGCTCACGCCAAGACTTTGGAGTTACACAGCACCTTCCTAAGAAACTCAAGAAACAGCAGCGACTCCTCAAAAGCCACGCCTCTGGCAGGGAGGGCCGGGGGCGGGTGAAGAGAGTGCGGTGGGTGGTTCTGTCGGCACCAAAAATCTGGATTTCCGGAAGGACAGGATTCTCTGACGGACCAAACCGGATGAAGGTCGCGCGCCCTCTTCCGCCCGCTTCGTGGTTCACCTATAGGAGACTTCTCGGAGGGGCGGAGCTGCGCCGAGCTTCTGCGCAGGCGCGGCTGGCCGAGCACGCGCGGCGCAATGCCGGCGGGGCATGCTTCACGAGTCCGGTGTTTATATAAGCGCATCTTGCAGCTACACCGGGCTCTGCCCCTGGACCTCAAAGCCCTGGGCGACCAGTACGTGAAGGACGAATTTAGGAGACATAAGACTGTTGGTTCTGGCGAGGCCCAGCGTTTCTTGAAGGAATGGGAGGCAAGTGATGCCCCTCCCGGCCCGCGACCTTTGGGGTTCCTCAGTGGTCTTCCTTCCTAGCCGCTCCCCGTTGTCCATGCACGACCACGCAGGGCGTCTGAATTAAAACAGCCTAAAGCTGGGCAAACAGCACTTCACCAGATTCGTTCGTGAGCCCTTTCCGCTTACAGGCAAGCGCTCTGCTCGAGTACACTGAGTTTGCTCGGTGCTCAGATCAACTTTCAGAGAGTCTGAGGGTACCGGGTGGGCTGTCTCCGAATTTGCTGCACCACCAACTTGTTAAGTGCTCCGAAAGTTAGCCCGTTTTTGTCCTTTTCGTTGCACTTGTACGTGACAGCCCGTGTAATGAACATTACGTCGTTACTAACCTGCCAGGTTTGTTTCGATCATTTGTTAATTTTTAATTGCAGGGCCTTAATAAGTTTTCCACTTGACAGATAAATTAGATAACACCAAAAGACTTAAAAACTACACTTGGGAAAGTGGAAAATGCTAGTGGAAGTTAAGCCAGGTGAAAGCTGTTTTCTTTAGGCTCTTTAAGTCCTGGTTACTTTTAAACACAGGCTGCGCTGTTGGATAAATCTTAAGCAATTGCATGCATTTGGATTTAGGTTTGTTTTTTTTTTTTTTTACTTTTCACTTTTCTTTCTTATCATTTATTTTAATTACATATTAATTTGTGTGTTGGGGCATGTGGGCGGGGTCAGAGGATAACCCAAGGGTTTCTCTCCTTCCACCACAGGGGACCTGGGGATCAAAACTTAGGTGTGTGGCTTGGCGGCAGACGCCTTTTTCACTGAGCCATTTCTGTGGCCTGAATATTGTATTATTATTATTATTATTATTACTATTATTATTATTATTGTTATTATTATTAAGAATGAAGAAAAAAAAGATGAGCATTGCATGTTGCTGAGAGGAGAGTCATGTATCCCCAGGGCCAAAGGCAAGAGAGTTGAAAGTTTAAGGCTAGCTTATCCACTTTAGCAAGACCTCATTTCAGAATAAAACACAGAAGGCTGGACATGGCAGTTATGTAGTTCAGTGATGGACCACCTGTCCTGCCTGCGTTAAGTCCTGAGTTCAAGCTGCAATTACACACACACACCCTGACGCTCTCTTCTTGCCTAGCCACATGCTGTATGATCATTCCCTCTTACATACACTCAAAAGACTTCCATCAGTGCCATGGTCTTGGAATTCCAAACTGTGAGTTAAGTAAATGTCTTTATATACTACACAGGGTCTGTATATTTTCCCTTTGAAATTACTAAATATTTTGGGACAGGAACGCCGAGGCTACACAAGTGTCCTGTTTCTTCTTAAACTTGGCCTAATTCAGCACTCATGGTTATATGCTAGGATTGTGTACCAGGGCTAATTTTCTGCTTCCCACATTCCTTCTGAATGTATTAGTTGAAATGTTTTTGTAGGGAAAGAAATGGCTCATCTTCACTGGTCTGGCAGTTTTACATACTTTTTGGAATGAAGGAAAAGTGTTCTGTGGGATCCAGGGCCCTGTAGTTGATGAATCAACAGAAATTTCAACAGTGTTTTACTTATCAAGAGTTTGTGTAACCTTTGTAACTTACCTGAGGTTTTATTTTTCATTTGTGACTTTTAAGTGGATCATCAGTTAAAAATAAATGACCAAGTTGCCTGTCATGTATATTTAAAGTTTCTTTAACTTAGAGTTGATGGCATTTTACTATTTTTTAAAATAATTTTACACTCCACATAATTTGAAGTTTGTTGCTTTTGAATATCTCACATTAGTTTGTAGCTTGTGGGAGAAAAGGAATGAATTACTGATCTGTACTACATGGTTGTACATGTGTGGAAGAGCTCTATCAAGTGTCAGTGGGCTGCTTGGGCACCTCTCAGTTCTTTCCGCGTGTTTCTCATGGCAGCCTCTGTGTGTGGTGGTTTATGGAACAGCAGTGGTTTATAGGATAGTGATGTCATATAAGTTATATCTTTTAAGATGTTTTAGGGATATCATGGAACTTAACTGCCATCTAAAAGGAATTAAAGGGAAGGTGTGAAACAATAGAATGTATATTATTGTTTTACTAGTTGAGGCTGGATCTCTTTTTGAAGAAAAGAGGTTTGCTGTGCCCTGCACAGCTTTGAAGTTGGTCTGACTTGGGTGACAGGGAGTGAAGAAGTGACAGACACATTGAGAGAATGGGGATTGCGTGGATGGTGTGTTTGGATGGAGATGCAGCTGTAGCAGTCTAGGAACTGTATATTTACAGTGTGCAGCTCCCCGGGGAGGTGGGGAAGCCAATCTCTGTAGGAGAGTAGCCTCAGGCTGAAGTCGGCAGGAGGAGGAAGCTGTGAGGAAGGTCTTGAGGCTTTGGAGTCCTTGACATGGTCAGGCCCATGTCAAAAGTGCACACCCACTCAGGACTCAACCCTCTCTCCACTGAGCTTTATTTAGGTTGTGGTTCTAAAGGCTCCAGGGCATGGTGCTGGCATTACCATGGCCCCGGAAGGACTTTAAGGTGTAAGGAATCCCAATAGTGGAAGTACTCTGATTGAGTTCAAGGGGGTGGGTGGCGTGGGGTTAGGGTGGAGTGTGAAGAGCATATCTTGAGAAAGTAACTGATAAAAAAGGGGGGGGGAGGGTTAGCGTAGGAAAATGAAGCTCTCTTTTAACACCCAATATAAACCTCTAATATATTGCTCATCTGAAGCAGCCATAAACTACTTTATAAAAATTGTTAAGTAAAATAGGTTAAATTAACATTCATATATAGTTCATTTTAAACATTTATTTATTATTTATTATAATTTATTCACTTTGTGTCCTGGCTGTGTCCCCTCCCTGTCTCCTCCCAAACCCACTCTCCCTCCTTCTTTTCCCCCTATGAGACCCGATAGGCTAGGGTCAGATAGAAGGGGAGGAGGACCTTCCCATAGATAGTTCTTTATGTTAAAATTCAGTACAAAAATTTGAGATTTCTGAGATTAAATATGCACATACTTGTCTTTTGTTTCAGAGTTATGACTAGTATATTATGCTAGTGATATCATTATTTTATGTTAAATCTTTAGAGTTGTATTTGAATCACTAAAACAAATGGATTGCAACTCAATTTTTAATAACTACTATAAAATCAATGTATGCAATTCTGATCAAATCATCACTTTCAAGGCACTTTTATTTTTTTGGAATTGTTTTGGCCTGGGGCGCTCTCCAGGCCCAGGTGTAGTGGGGAGTGAGCAACAGGTGGAGTAATGGGAGGGAAAAAAGCGAGCAAATAGGCGGGGAGGGGGTGGTGGTGGAAGAGAAGCCAAGCAGTGTGTGCGCTATGCAGAGAGGTGGAAGGGTGGGTGCAAAGGCATTTGCTGTTCTGGCTCCCTGGGAAATGGTGACTTACACTGTCCATCAATAGAGCCAGGAAGAAACGCAAGTGCCAGTGGGGCTGTGTCGTGTCTTCTTCCTTTGAGACAACCGGCCACTGGGTGAGTAGCTGTGATTTCCCGAGCTGCATCGTAGCCCAGGAAGAAGCGCAGGTCCTGCGTAGTGGAGACCCGGACTGACTCAACATGGCCTGCTGGGTTTACCTCTCATCACTGGCCTGTTTGCTAACCTCTCTAATTGGTTTTGGCGGCAGTTCAACCAGGAGACTGGACTATTCTATGTTGAATTACACTTTCTCTGTGCTGTGTTTAGCTTTGGCCAGAGATTCGTTTCCTTTGCAAGTCTCGGGCCTAGACGAACGTTTAACCATCGTGCCTTTCAAAAGAAGATGCGGTCACTGGTGCAGCGTGTGCAGGCACTGTTACATTTAGCAAGTGATGGAGAGCTGGGAGAGAAAGAGAAGTGGAATGGCTTGTGCACTATGAAGAGAGGTGGAATTGGAGACTCGAGAGTGATGAGGAATAGCCTGTGCTGCACCTCAGGCCATGGTGACGTCCTGGCTCGTGCTGTGCCCGAGGGCCATGTCTGGGTCTGTAGCCCTGCAGCAGTGTGGGTGGGTGTCCATGTCTATGACCCGTGTTACCATGGCCTGGTCTGGGCTGCCACCTGGGGCAATATATTCCCAAGATCTGAGCAAAGCTGGCCCCTTCTCTTGCCTAGGCAGGGTGGGAGAGCTGGCCCCATCCCTCACCAGCTACAGCACTTTGGAGAGTGCCCCACACCTTGCCTGGACAGTACAGTAGGGCTGACCCTGCTGGTGTGGGTGCACATGAGCTGTCCCGAGGGATGGAGAATTGGCCCCACCCCTTCTAAGGGTAGTGAGGGAGAGCTGGACCTGATGGCATGTGAGCAGGAGAACTGGTCCTGTTCACCTTGTTTGCTGCCAAAGACAGGAATGCTGCCCTACCCCTGGGCAAAGTGGGAGACCTGGCCCTGCTCATGTGGGTGCGGGAGAGCTGGTGGACAGACCAACTCAGCTACCACCCAGGCTCAGGTTCCTGTGAGTTGGCCCATCAGTATATCTACCTCATCTATAAACTGCTGGAGCATGTAAAGGGACCAGTCCTACAGATCCAAAGCTGCAGGATCTCCATGACACAGAGCAACAACAGGATATCTGAGAGGAGTCCTGGGGAGGGTTCAGTATTGGTAGTGTAGCAGAAGCCAGAGGCTTAAAACAGACTGTTGACTCATTGCAATGAATATTTGCAGGTAAAGATGTGTGGACAAGAAGGTATATGACTCACTGTGACACAGTGCGGCTTCTGGGGTGGGTTGTTGTTGTTTGTTTTGTTTTGTTTTTTCTTTAGCAGGGAAGTTGCAAAGGTGGAAAGCAGAAATGGAAGAACAGAGAGATGAGTGGGATTGGGATGCATGATGTGAAATTCACAAAGAACCAATTTTAAAAAAAAGATAAAAATTGTTTTACTTAATACATTGTGGTGGTTTGAATAGGAATGGTTCCCATAGATTCGTGTGTTTGAGTGCTTGATCATAGTGAGTGGCACTATTAGGAGGTGTGGCCTTGTGGAGGAAGTGTGTCACTGTGGAGGTGGGGTTTGAGGTCTTC